GTAGTAGTTAGTAGTAGTTAGTAGTAGTTAGTAGTAGTTAGTAGTAGGTAGTAGGTAGTAGGTAGTAGTTAGTAGTTAGTAGTTAGTATTTAGTAGTAAGTAGTTAGTATTTACAGATTGTGCCTCTGGTACTATAGTAAATGTCTGATCAGCGGGGCGAACAACGTAGCCATTTTGGCTCAAGCCCCGCAGTCGAACAGGCCTCCGCTGATTTGTTTTCAGCGGGGGGAAAAATGTCTGTTCCGGCGTGGGCACAGGAGCGGCCCCCCGCCGGTAGGCCTTTGACCGTGTTCGGTCCCCCGGGAGGCCGTGGTCGCAGCGGCAGCCAGGGGAGAGGACCCAGTGCAAAACGGGTCGATACATCCCCTCGAAGGGACCGCGCCAAGCTAGGAAGGACAAGCGGTCTGTTCGCGGCTGGCGCATGGTCCGCGAGGGAGGAGATCGCACGCATGATCGAAAATGGAGTCCCTTCGAATGAAATCCTGGAAGCCATCCGGAGTGGTTCAGAAGGTGACCAGCCCCTGGAGATCCAGGGAGAATCTGAAGAGGCAGATGAGCCAGTGGCGAAGTCTCTGTCAGAGGAGAGGCCACCACGGAGTTCCGGGGTGGTACCTCCTAGCTGGACCACCGAGAAGAAGGCGGAGAAGCCTGCCAAGTACCCGCCAGCTCAGAGGGCTCTTCCTCAGCAGCTTCGACGCCCCACCTTTCCACGGACCGCTCCTCCCGGGATACTCCCACCTGGGCGACAGGAGCGGCACTCTCGCCTCTGGGCTTCGCAAAGAAGGCGGTGTCACCAACTCCTCAAGTTCCGCAGCTGCGAGTCAAAGAGGAGGAGCCTGAGGAGAAACCTGAGCCATCGGCAGTTGTGCCAGAGTTGGATCCAGGTAGGATCGCCAAGGGCCTGGATGAAGTAGGCATCTTTGGAGGATTCTCGAAGAAAGCTGAAAAGCCGAGCGGGTCCGAGGCCATTCCTTCTCGAGTCGCACCTTATGTCCCTTTAGGCCTTCCCCGTCGGAGCCGTCCCCTCGAAGAGGCCAAGCTCGAGGAGTTCAGGAAGCTCGCAACCCACCTCTTTGAAGAACTCGTGATTCATGAGGTGGAGATGGACCTGGTGGAGACGGTCAGTTCGAGGGATGGCGTCATCGACTCCGCGCTCTTCCACAGGTACACGGACCCGAAGTCAGCAGGCACCGCCCTTAGGTATGCGCGCCTCCTGTCACGCTATCTTCAAGCCTACGAGATCAAATATGGGACCCCTTCAGTCACCGGGCCAAAGATCATGGGGCTTGAAGCGATCCAGGCTTTTGTCATCAGCCTGATCGAAGAGGAAGTGGGATTTTATACCCCTCGAAGCTTCCTCTACGCCGTGGAGTACTTCGGAGGCCTTTTCGGGTACCACTCACCCGGAAGTGCCCACCCCCGTGTCCGCAGGCTTTGCACTGATTACGTGGGAAAATCCCCGGAGCGAAGGCCAGCACCATTCTTCGAGATCAGATTCCTGTACTGGCTGGAGACGGTGGCGCTTGACGAAGCCCGGGACCTGCAGACTCGCATTGCCTGCGGGAAGCTCCGCCTGTGCACGCAATCCAGCATCCGTCACTCCGACCTGGCAGGCGCAGCAATGAGGGACGTTGAGTGGTGCCGAATGGTTGGAAGTTCGGGAGTCTTGGGACTCCGCGCCAAAGCAGCATACACCAAATCCGGCCCCAGGACGTGGGCTGCGAGCCTCTTGGGAGTTCATCCGGATAACGACAAGTGGCTGATCCGATGGGTGGAACTCCTCCTAGTGATGCGCGGCCATGATTGGCGTACCCATTCCTTCGTCGAGAGGGCAGCAGGGAAATCGGAAGGGTGGGAGCTCTATCCACCCTTGATCTCTGAAGACACCCTGACAGTGAAGCACGCGCTTCTCGCCGACATCGATGGAGGAAACCAGAACATCATGCCCAGGGAGCAGGCGTTGCGCCTGAGGTGGCACAGCTGCAAGACGACCATGCCTACTTATATGACCCACTTCAAAGTCACCACCAGGACGGTGAGGTTCCAGGGAGCCTGGAAGGACCCGGCAGAACTCATGCCAGACCTGTACCTCCGCGAATCTCAGATTTTGGTTCTGAAGGCGCAGATTGAGGTGCTTGATCAAATCCGCCGAGGGGCGGTGATTCAAACCCTGGAGGGCCAGGAGCTTGACTCCATGCGACAGCCCGATTGGGCCACGGTCGAGACCCTCGAAGAGGAGAATAGGCTGCTTGAAACCGGCGGGGAGGGTTCGGGAGCGGAAGCCATGAGGCGCGCCATTGTTTGCACGGAGGATCGACAGGGAGAGCGTAGGATCAGCGGTGACTGCGCAGTCCCTGTTAAACTCCCCCCTGCGCTACGTGGGACTGGTGCAGAGGACCTGGAGGAGTTGGAGGTCACCCTGGAAAAGGAAAGAGATGTGGCCGCCAAGTACTACAAAGACCACCCGATCGAGCACGTTGAGACATCGCCCAATGCCGTCGAGTGGGGCCCTGATTCTGATGACAGTGAGGGCGACCCTGCAACAATGGACCTAGAGATGCACCACACCTTCGTGCAACTCGCCTCGGGAGCTGGAAAGATCCATAAACCCTCAGTCGGGGACGAACACATGCCAAGGTGTGGGAGCCAGGGTTCAAGGTTCGCGGAACTCGGCGTGGACCACAGCTGGGGCATGAACTACAAGCTCTGCAACAAGTGTTTTGGAAAAAATGCAGAAGCATCCACGTGCCCCTTGCTGTGTGACTTCGTGCTGAAGAAGGGGGGCAAGGTTGTGCTGCGTTGCGGACGACGATGCAGAGGCGATCAGGTAGAAGGACATCTGAACCCCAGTGAGCAGGGCTTTGATCCAGCAAGTAGGCACAGGTGCACCTTGCACAGTGAAGAGGTGCTAGAGGAGGATCTGTAGGCTGACCGATATGATGTGATGCAAAAATTAGGGTGCCAGGGTGATTGTTTAAACCATGTAGCCATGCAACCCAGTTCGCAAGAGTTCATGCAATGCTGGAGCGTCCATTGGGGATCCATGTCCTTTCGTATGGACGTGACGGGTGCACCTCTATTGTAGACGCATGTGCCGATGCCCCAATGAGTGGATCAAACACCCACGTCCCCGAACCCGGGAGTCCTGCCAACATGGCGGATGCCAAGTCTGCTCTGGCCTTCGGACGAGCTGCTGTCAGCTTCGAGGTCCATGAGAGTGACTTCCTGGCCATGGCCGCGGACAAGATAAGTACGTTCGAGGCCATGGCATACCGCTTTCCTGCCAGCGCTGATCTTGAGGACTACCTCAAGAAGGTGCTGCGGAAGAGGGCGGCGTATCGCAACGACGAGGGCGAGATCGTGGTCTATGACAAGCCGACGATCCTCTCTTGGGATGACTACAAGTCGGAGCCGGACACGGGCTGCCTGAGGAAGCTCTGGGGACTGTCCACCCAGGTGGCCAAGCGCCATCTGGAGAGGCTGGCAGGAGAAGAAGGCGAGGGAAAGACGAAGATCACCCTGGCCCATGCTCAGGAGCTCGAGGACAAAGCAGTTGAGACCGGCATGCCAGAGGCGACATCCGATCGAGAGAGGCCTTCATTGCACACGCTCACCAAGGTGCAGGCGACCTTCATGCCGAACGGAACCTTCCAGCACTTGGCTTGGGAGTCGTACGTGTCCATGGAGGTCGAAGCGAGGCTGAGGAGAGCAGGAAAGCTGCCCAAGGACAAGAGGGAGCTGGTAGTGGATGGGAAGAGCCTGAAGATGACCGACGCGGACATGGAGTTCCCGGAGACGGTCGTCGTGGACAACCTCGTCGCCCTGCAGGACCTCTTTGAACTGAGGGCGCGGGCATTTCACATCCTCGATGTCTGCAAGTATGACGTAGTGAAGGCCTATGGTGAGCGGATTGTAGCCAGCCTGCGAGGAGTGACCGCAGAGGGCATGCGCAACCCCACCATGAACGAGGCCCGTCGTGCAGATCGAGAGATCTTTGGCGAGATCCTGAAGTGGGTAGCGAAGGGCAAGGGTTCAGTGGAAGCTGGACTCAGCCACTACACCCGGGAGTTCACAACTGAGCCGCTCTGGAAACTCCTCAGCCAGCAGCCGGAAGGCCACCCGGACCAAGGCAAGGAGCGGCCCTCTACCAGCAAAGGCGGAGGAGATGACAAGAAGGGCGTGAAGAGGTCGCGTACCCCGGAGCGTTCCCACAAGGAGAAGCCAGGTGAGCCTCAGAGAGTCCGAATGTGCATCGTCTGCCGCAAACGCCATGAACCACGCTGCCAGATCCCTCCCGGGTTCCGGAAGGAGCAGAAGCAGCAATCTCGTGAGCAGAAGCGGAAGTGGGACGAAGAGCACAAGAAGGACAAAGGAGGCAAAGACACCAAGAAATAGGGACAGCTCCTCTCAGGAGCGCAAGCGACCTGCGCTCCGGGAGGTCAAGAATTTTTGAAATCCTCGGAACTTCGAAGAGAGGAGAAAAAGGTCGCAGAACCCTGGGACTTGTTAAGGGGCCGGGATGTTTTTCAACACAGTAGCCAGTTGCAGCGAGACCTTGAGGTCTCAGACCTGCAGCATTGGGGTCCTAACTGCTGTACCTTCTCCCGGGCTCGTGAGAAACCAATCCCAGGAGTCAAGGATCCCCCTGTACCTCTTAGGAGTTCAAATTTTCCAGAGGGTATTCCAACGGTGGTGGCCGGTCTCCCCGCTTCGAAGCGACGTAAGTTGAACTTAGATACACGCATGGCTGACATGGCTGCTTTAAACTGCCTGAAGGCCAAGCGCTTGGGGAAGTTCTTCACCCTGGAGCATCCGAAGAACTCCATTGCCAGAGACTTGGAGTCCTGGAAAAATTTGGAGTCGGAAGAGGGGGTGTGGGCCACGGAATACCATTCATGCATGTTTCGGGGAAGTGAGAGGAGGAAAGCTCAGGTCCTCATCCACAACATTCCCCTGCTGAATAGTAGATTGAACTTGATTTGTAACAGCAGTAGGATCTGTACACGCACGAGGAAACCCCACCTTTCCTGGAAGCCGAGGGTTGAGAGGGGAAGAGTGACATCCTTCGCAACCAGCCTAGAGAGAGAGAATACCCAGAGGGGTTCTGTGAAGTATACGCACAAGCCATAGTGGAGGCCGCGCGATGCCCCATCCACGCGTTTGTAGAGGTCTTCTCAGGGCCAAATGCGCCTCTCTCGTGCGCCTTGGCAAGAGCCTGGGGAGTTCGTCCCCCGGTCCCTCCAGGCACTGTCAAGCCTCCAGGGCCCGAGCAATCAGAACTCCCAGACGGACGCCTTGAACCACAAGCAACGACTAGCCTTTCGACATCAGCCACGTCCGCGCTTGGAGATCCCGGCATTACACTCGTTACAACTCCTACGGCCGAAACCGTGCAGCCGCGAGCCCAAGCCGTGGAGGCAGCTAAACAGCCAAGTTTCGGGAAGAGGCAACAGCTCATACCCAATGGGCTGAATGACGCTGCTGCTCACTTCAAGCAGGCATGCAAGTTACAACATCCATTCTCATCGATGGCGACTCTCAAGGCGGATCACCAGGAGTCGTTGCGCGCCCTGGAGGAAAATCCGTCAACACTGGTTCGTTACCGCCTCGAACAGCTCGCCAGGGTCAGAAAGCTCAAGTCTGAGCTGACCGCAGAGCAGAGACGAGCAAACGCATCGGCCGCCTGGACGGCACGAAAACTCAGCATCAGGCCAAATACCTGTCTGATGGAGAGGCTGCAGTCCCTGTTGCACATCGAGGACACAGACGTTCCCCAACTGTGCCTTGACGGGATGCGCATCACAGGGAAGGCGCAAACCTCCCCATTTTTCATGCCCTTTGAAGTTAGGCCAGTGATGTCACGCGACACCTTCCTAAACGGGTGTCGAGAGAGATCACTGAGCCATGATCGAAAGGGTCCGGCACATGGCCCAGAAGGGTCCCCCAGAGATGGCAAAGGCCATCTGGGAGAAGACCCAGAGGGAAGTTGAGGCTGGCACCATGGGTCCGGCTATCACACTAGACCAGGCCCGTGCCAAGTACGGCTCGGAGGTGCAGGTTACACCAAGCTTCGGCCTAGCTCAGGGCACCAAGTTCCGCCGAATTGATGATCACACGGCATCAGGCGTGAATCAAATGGCCCACCGGCTACAGAAGGTCCCCATGACAATGGTCGATTACATTGGTGTCATGCTCAAGGCACTAGCCTCCCAGTCAACATCCATCCGGCTGGCTACGGAAGATATGAAATCCGCCTATCGCCAGATAGCATTGCACCCTGCAGACGTCAGGTTCGCCATCACCGGAGTATACAACCCGGAAACTGATGAAGTCTCGCTACATGAGATGTACGGACAGCCTTTTGGCGCCGGACACTCAGTCCCCAACTTTTGCAGAGTGGCGGAGTGGATCTCCCGCTGCTCTGTTCGCCTGTTTCACACCTTCTCTGACCATTTCTTCGACGACTTCTTTTGCCTTGAGCCTTCTCAAACAATTGAATCCGCTCTCTTTTGCCTTAAAGCTCTTTTTACCGAACTAGGCTTCCAGCTCGACCCAGACAAGTCGCAAGTTCCATCGCACACATGCGCCATCCTTGGCATCATGTTCTCCACCCAGTGCTTAGCGGCCGAACGCAAGATTTCCCTGGAGGCGAAGCCCTCTCGCGTCGCCAATCTTTGTGAGACCATCCGTCAGGTGCTGACCACAGACCAACTTTCGGCTGCATTGGCAGCCAGCATTGTTGGGAAGTTTGGTTTCCTGTGCTCCACCTTATTTGGAAAGGTGGGTCGTTGTTGCACCGGTCCTTTGCGTAAGCGCCAATACTCCCAACACAAGTTTCAAGGTCTGACCCCTGACATTAAATGGTCACTCCACATGATGTTGGCATTCCTCAAGTATTGCCCCTCACGTGAACTCGCGTTGACGGACACTTCACCGGTCGTCTTGTACACCGATGCCTCGGATGTTCCCGGTCGTCAGCCGCAGAGGCTGGTAGGGGCAGTTCTCTTCATCCCAGACTCACACCAGCTTCTGTACTCTGCAGAGGAAGTTCCCCACACAATGGTGCAATCATGGCGCCCACGAAAGTCCTACATGGGACAACTGGAACTGGTCGCACCGCTGTGGGCTCTTGAGCTCTGGAGCCAGCAACTTCAAGAGCGTTCCGTCCTCTTGTTTGTCGACAACGATAGTGCTGCCACCAACCTGGTGAAAGGTTATTCCCCCCAACCTGACAGTTCTCACCTCGTTGGATCTTTTTGGCTGACAGCCACCCAACTGAAGTTGCATATATACATCGACCACGTAGAGTCCAAAAGCAATATTGCTGATGGACTCTCGCGAAATTCATTTGCAGAAGTCATCCGGTTGGGAGGAACTTGGA